CCACCCTTATCCCCGATCGAGTCCTTAACTCCGATCCCCTCATTCCCACACTATGTATGTACACGAAGTGGTCCCTGTCTGGACATCCCAATTCCGCGGGGAAAGGCTTTAGCCTCTCCGCGAAGACGTTCGAGATATTGATATCAGCCTGATTTCTAGCAGCAATACTCCGTAAATATACTCGTCGGCCGAGGACCCACTAAAACCACAATGTAAACAAATAAACGAACAGCCCCCTCGCGTAATTTCTTTTCTTCCCGGTGGGTCTTTCTTGAACTCTCAAAGGCCCCACCACAGACAGTTTAGCGAGCCCACCCCCCCCCCTCGGCCTTAATTTCCAGCTCCAGCCTCAACCCCGATGCGCATAACTGACCCGCCTGATTCATCTCCGCAAATCCTATCACCTCGCCTCGTGTAGCTCTACCAGCTCTCCTCTCAGCTCTTCGTCGCTCCAAACATATCCATCCGCTCTTTAACTCTAATCCCATCTAATCGGCTACCTCAAATCATAATTCGAAGAAATCAGCCGACTTGCTGTAGCAAGTCGGAACCACCAAGGCGGGACAGTAAAATTTGCCCCTTTATAATGAATAGAAAATCAACTAACAATTGTATCGCAATAATCTCTGTATAAAGAGATGCAGCGTATCGAGTTTGACATTAGGTAATCAATCAAATTTTAATCACAAGTTGTTATTCCTTTTATTGTGTTGGGTTAAAGTAGTAAAAATGGTGCTTTTAGTATACTTTTATTGTACTTTTCGACCTCACTGGTCCGTACATTAAAGGACTTGGCGTATCCAAAACTTCAACTGCGCCCTTTTCGAACTCGGAAACCTAGCGCTAAGGCTCTTCAAACCGCGATCATAATCGATTTCGTAGACGATAAAGAAGATAGCGACGAGGACTCAGCTTTATGTAATAGCGATTCTAAGCTTGACGATAATATTGAAAGTCGAATGGCGAAAGAAAGTATAACACGTTACGATGAATATTGATTGTGTTGAAAACCGAAAGACCGCACGCAAACTGAAACTGGTATCCGGCAGCCTAACGACGACCGCGCACGACCTCCCATCACCGATCCATTTCCTTCGCTATCTCTTCGCCCCCTTTCCTCCTTCTCTTTCTTTTCCTTTCTTATTCCTCAGAAACGAGAATGAAAATGATCAGGCTAGATCAGGTTAGATCACGAGAAAGAGGATGAATAAAAAAAGAAAAATTCACGAGTGGTATGGAAAGGAAGGGTGGGGGGGTGCACAAAAAGAATGAAAGGAAGAAAGAAAGGGAGAGAGAAAGGGAGAAGAAAGGTGTAGAGAACTGTGAGAGCTCAAGAGAGGAGAGGGGCCGGTTAGGACAGAACGGAGGAAGCAAGAAGCAAGAACGGGTGACTAGTAGTAGGAGGCAAGAAAGAGGGAATGAATGAATGTATGCAGGAGTTGAGAGGTCATCATCCCGTTTGTACGTCGCCAGGAAAAGAAGAAGAAAGAACGCCAGTCTATCTATCCCCCGTTTGCCTGCCATGCGAATGATATCGCTTCGCTGATCCAATGCCGCTTATCCTACCTAAGGTACACTCTATAGCTTATTTACACTTCTCGCCTATCCCTCGCCTCTGCAAAGTCAGAGCTCAACTAGACCCCGCTAGCCCAGGCGATCCACTACTCTTCAATCCCGAGAACTGAGCAGGCAGAGCCTTCTTGCCAGCCGAGTGAGTTGCCTCCGGACGGCCCTTGTAAACATGCGCCATGTTAACCCTCTTCTCCAACAAGCGCATCGTAGCTCTCGGGACCCAAACTCTGTTACCTAGGACCATGACACCGGTCAAGAGTGCTAAGCTGCCGGCTTGATGGGCAGCCGCCAATGGTAAAGGAACTAGATAGACGAGTGTGCTGATACCTAGCGCAACTTGAATCATAAGCAGATGTACGACGCCTAACATGCCTTTGCGTGCTGAATTTGGCATCGCGGATCTAATTCGCTTATTGAGACGCGTATACGCCCAGAGCGAGAGGATGGTGGTGAAGGTGGTAGTTGCAAGGATGCGATGGTCTAGTTGCACTGTACTCGGGTTCTCGAGCATGTTGCGCCAGACCAAATCACTGCGATCCTCTTTGCGGCTGTAGAACGGATTAAGAAGTTCGGACTTTGGCGGATGGAAACCGACGCCCATGTGTGGGAACTCGTTGTAGATCATGCCTGCGTCTAGTCCTGCAACGAGACCACCAGACATGGCGGTTGTGAAGACCAGGACTGCTAGTCCCGCCACGGATTTCCTGAATGGGGAAAGCGCAGGAGAGAGAAGATGTGAGAGTTGCGCATACGCTCTCGTAGGGTTTGCCAGGAGCGCATTGGTGCGGAGGATGGAGAGCCCGTTCCAGAGCATAGCTGTGTAGCAGATGAATGCTGTCCCCAAGTGTGCTGTGAGTCTGTATTGCGAGACTCGAGGATGGCTTCCGGGAGCAAAAAGATCGTCTTTCAGACCGCTCTTTACCATGTACCAGCCCATAGCTCCTTGTCCTGCGATCAGGCAGCTTATACCGAGGAATCGTAGGGACATGTTGGCGGACACTTTTCCGCGAGACACAAAATAGATGGCGGGGAGAACGAAGGAGAGGCCGACGAAGCGGCCCCAGAGGCGATGGCCCCATTCCATATAGTAGATTTTCTTGAATTCTTCCAGCGTCATGTTTGGATTGAGGAGTTTAGATTCGGGTGAGGCGCGGTATTTTGTGAATTCCGAGTCCCAGTCTGCTGCGGATAGAGGAGGAAGGGAACCGGTCACTGGCCGCCATTCTGTTATACTCAGTCTGCCAGCCTATTAGTATGGAGGTTCATCCAGCACTGAATTAGAAGAAGGCAAGCATACCCAGACTCCGTCAACCTCGTCAAACCCCCAAACACCACAATTCCAAACACACTCCCCGCAGATGCTAGCAGCCAATATCCCACTGCATTGCTCGACGTCTCGGGGAAAAAGCCCTTCTTTGGTGTATCCTTCTTCTGGGCATTATATATCGTCTGGCTGAGATTGCTCAGTGGCGATTTCTTAGTGGCAAACTGCTCGAATGCTGCGGTGCTGCTGCTATTGAACCGGATGGTCCGCGATAGATTCGCCTTGCCGGGTATCTTGACTTTGGTAAGAATTGAGGGGCTGTGCCGTAGACATCGTTGGCACACGAAAAAGTCGCGGTTCAATTTTGGAGCGGCTCGCCACAGCCGGGGTAATACTGAAGCCATTGGGATAGGCGTTGATCTAGAGACAAATAAGTGGTTGAGATGTTGAGTAGTTGATTAAATTATCGACATCTCGAATATTACGTAATGGTGCCAGCCGAGGCTGAGAATCGCGGGCGGGGCGCGGAGATAATGCCGATGCGGATGTCAACGCAAGAAGTGGTCGAGTAGGGATTCTTGGGAGATACGTCACGGCCGACGGCGACAACAACAGCCAGGCTGTGATGTGACGACACCAAGACGAAACAAATAGCAACGCAAATACTCCGGCCCTCTTCACTGGTTCGCGTTGGATCGGGTAGCGACGACGACGACGGCGAAGACGGCAGCCTCAACATGAACTGAAGATACCTTCAATATCACTTCCTCGATGCCAGCGCCTCCGTATACCCGCAATACCGATACTCTCAATCCCTTCCAACCTCCCCTGAACTATCTCTCTGGTGGTCGGCCGCGATCCTCCCACCGCCAGAGCAGCTCGTCAGGAGGCCTGGATTCTGACCGCGAAACCTCCCGCTCCAGAATGTCGTCCTACAATCCCAAATCTTCGAATGAGTTTCGCCAATCCTCCATCCCTCTCATCAGTATCTCGCGATCCCCTTCCCCCTTTTGCAGACGACCTTCAGACTCGGGCCTTGCCTCAGATACAGACGACGATGACTGGGGCGACACTCCTATGCCTTCTCAACCCTTCATCCTCGACCGCGCAAAGCTCACAGGCTGGAGGTGGTTGATATACGGGGGTGGCATGGGCCAGTTCTTCTTCAACACGCCCTTGGGATGGCAGATTTATATTGCAGTATTGGTCTTCTGGCTGGGAGGCTGCCAGATTGGTCTCACGGTCATGAACAGGATTATCCTGTGGAGTGGGTATCTCAAAGAGAACTATACATCGCATACCAAGCTGATGTCTTTAATAGCCGGCGTGTACAAGTTCCCTTACCCACTTACTACGACGCTCATTGAGATGCTCATGACACATGGTTGGGTCCTGTTGTCAGCCTATATCACGAGATGGGTTAGTCCATGGTTGACAAGTGCTGGCTTGTCTGGGGGCATTGCGCCGTCGAGGCCATTGCCATCGCCCTCGTCCCCAGGTTTTAGGGGCTTGGGGAAGAACCCGGGATTTCTGGCATCCGTTGGTCGTTGGGCTTCGTCCCACACAGGAGGCATTGCCGGAGGCGGATTATTCGAATTTGATCTCCCAGTCGTCAAGACGGTCCTACCTTGCGCTATCATCTTCGTGGCCAAAGTTAGCCTGTCCAACCTCTCCTTCGCCTACGCCCAACTCCCAGTCTACGTCCTGGCACGTATCGGGATAGTTCCCCTCTCCCTCATATTCACATACTTCCTGGGCCACACCTCCCATGGCGTCGGCACCATCTCAGCAGCCTTGACCGCATCTCTCACCCTCCTCGTTGCAACCGTCCGCCCTAACGTCCGCGTGACATGGGAAAGTATCGTCGCCGGCGTCTTTTCCTCCTTGTTTGTCGCCTTGTACCCAGTGCAACTGCAGCGCACCTACAAATCCCTCGTCGCCCAGCTAGTCCCCCAGGGTGACCTCATAGGCCCCTTCCCCAACGCTTCCACCGCCGCTGACTTTTCCGGCACTCGTGAAGAAGCGCGCGCTTACTGGCGCCTGATCCACTATACGTCCCTCCTCTCTATCCTCATCTTCACCCCCATCGTGATATTGTCAGGCGAAGTCACGAATATCTGGCGGAACTGCTATTTCCTTGACGTTTTTTTCCACTGGTTGATGGTCGTATGCGGGGGGTTGGGAAGCTGGGCTGTGTTTTGGAGTACGATGGCCTTGACGAGGGCGACGAGTCCTCTGACGAGCACGTTTTTGTTTGTGCCAAGAGCGGCGTTTTTGCTGCCGATTATGGCCGGATGGAAGATGTCGGCTTATAGTTGGATTGGCATCGCGATGTGTTGGGCCAGTTGTGCGTGGTTTATGATTGGGAGGAGGAAGGAGGGGAAGGTCTTGAGAGGCTGAGATGACCTTGCAGATTTAGCCTGCCTGCTATGTTTGAGCGTATGTGTGTTGCGCATGCGCCGGAGTTTAGAAACTGGATCATAGAGCAGATGTCGATATTGGAGCAAGATGCAAAACATACTGCAAAACATACTTGCTATTTAATTGATATATTTCCTGTACTAGTATAGACCAAGTATTTTTTTGCCTACCTCGAAACACTTGTTCGGCCCTAGACATCTGCACTAGGCCAAGGTTGAACGTCATGTCCAGCGATAACGGCTCGTCCTCGTCGAATGCCCCGGACGCGATCTTTCGGATTCCTACCCCTCTTGAACTGCCTATTTATATATATAGGTATATATATACAAGTCTAAATCTCACCCAGCACAAGCCACGCGTCTCGCAAACCAAATCAAACCAAACCCACAGAAATCATCCATCCATCCATCTATCCATCTATCCGTCTTTCTTCCTTCCTCTCTCTCTCTCTCTCTCTTTTATTTTAAATTTTTTTTTCTTTTTTTTTCGGGAGGAAGGAAGGAAGGGAGGAAGGGAACGCTGTTTGTTTGTTAACCTTTCTTTTGGGGGGATGTAATTAGGAGACTGGTTTGTGTTTGGAGCGGGGAGAGAAGATGATTGAGCGAGCGAGCGGGGGTTTGTTTGGTTTGGTTGGGTTTGGGTTGGGTTTGGGAGGGCTGTTTGGTTGGATTTTGGGGGAGAGTGTTTTTATATATATATAGGTATATAAATATATGTGGGGGAGGGGCTGGTGTGCGTGCGTGCGTGTGAGGGTTTTTTGATGCTTGGTTGGTGGTGGGTTTGGGTTGGGCTGGGCTGGGTTGGTCTTTTTGGGGTTGGTCTTTCTGGGTTGATCTTTCTGATTTGATCTTTCTGATCTAATCTTTCTGATCTAATCTTATCTAATCTGATCTGAGTGAAGAATACGAAAGCGTGGATCGGAGCCGGGAGCGAACTTGTCGGTCTGTATATATTTATGTTCTCTTACTAGTATTTTACCTTTTGTGTTCATTTATGTTGCATTGAATTGTATTATATACGGGAAAAAAAACATACCTCAAAGGCAGGGGGTCATTTGTACGGTCCTCTGACCCTTTCTTCAAGGAGACGGTCACTGGACCGTTCAAGATCAGCGCTAGCTTCAAATCACGAATAGTTCACTTTTTCACTCGTCCCCGAGGAAGAGACCGTCCCTTGACCGTCCTACAGCCCGTCTTGATCCAATCATCTAGAATGGGGTTTCCTCAAGAGCTCAATTCCAGATTCAAACACGGTCTATCGACCGTCCAGAGTCCAGACCGAAGGACTACTCCAATACAATAACCCTTCAACGAATGCTACCAGATCTTAATTTCGAAGCCGATTCTCATGCCAAGATGTTCTTCGCTTGAGTTGCCACCTGACGAGCGCCCACGCTCTCGTCGATTAAATATTGATAGCGATCGATGATGCAGCGACAATCGATGCAGTTTGCGGGTGCGTGGGTAACCGCACGTATGATCCTCAATGCAACATACCTGCTTCAGAGAAGGGAATGAACGAGCGAGCGCGCAGCGCATTCGAAAGGAAGGAAGAGGCGGCGGCGCAGCGCAGCGCAGTCGGAGAAGGTCAAGATCGGTAGCGGAGACGGAGAGGACGCGAAGCAGGCTGCAATCCGTACTATTTTAGTTTGCTAGCTTTTGGCGAGGCTTGCGGTCACAGAAGTTGGTATCCGGCTTTCAAATGTGAGAAAGATATGTGCTCGTGTCAATGGATGTGATTGCTCGTCATGCGGTTCTGATAGGTAGCTGTTTCCTACCTTTTTACCTTCGCAGCCTTGACGAGAGGGACTTGGGAGCCAGGCCGCTTTCGGTGGCTGTCTCTGAGCAGAAGGCTGATTCCAGCAGAGTCTTACATGGACAGCGCTATAGAGGTCCCGGATATTTCGAGCATCTGGCATGCTTTGCTTCATCGCTTTTTGGCTTCCCATCTTTTTGGGGGGGGGAGGGGGGGATTGGCTGGAGGTGGCTCTTCGTATACACTTTCCAAGCGTAGAGACTAGAATCGGAAGCTGAATACGAAGTATGAATAAAGCAAAACATCAAGAGACCAGACCGTCTCCCGTCTCACCTCGACATTCCTCGAATCAGCATTCGGGTCAGCCTGGCACTACCCAGATCACCCCCCGTCGGAATGCGTATGACGAGTCTCACCTTGGCATCGTCCATCAGCTCAGCTCAGCTTCGCCCAACCACAAAACCAAAGGGCCCGTTGCACCCGTGTAAGGAGAAAAGATCAGTCAGACTTCGTATTCCACGAGCTGAAAGGATTCCACGAGCGGAGAGGAGATTCTGTACTCCGTAACTGCGAGCCGATCCCGAAGCCACTACTGTACTTTCCAGGCCCAGCCTGCCCACGGCGTTCCGACCCCTCGCTCCAGCTATAGAAAGCGCGCTTTCCCCTCTCTCTCCTACCAGAAGCGAATCACAACAACAACAAATAAAAGGAAACAAAAGGAAAGTCCCACACAGCAGTCGACCGACCACCCCGCCGTCTCAAGCCTCCTCCCCATCAAGTTTTCAAGAATGCAGCACCTCCTCGCCACCATCCTCGCGGGCCTCGCTCTCGCAGCCGCCAGCGACATCAGCACGACCCCAGGACTCTGCAAGAAACCACGCTGCACTGGCTATTGCGCCGATGGTTTGTATGCCGCCATAGTCCTGCTTCTCTCCTCCCTGACATAACATAATATAACATCCTTCCCTCCCCAACATAACATAACATAAACCCCCTCCCTCCCTTCCTCCCCACTATAACATCACATCACATCACATCACACAACATCAACAAAGAAGACCCTCTTCTCCGCTAACACGAGATGATCGTCAACACCCAGCCCGTACGACTGCTGCGTGGTCTACATCCGCGACCCGTGCGCCGACCACCGCCGACCACTCGCCTCGCCGTCTATCCTTCCCGCTCCCGCTCCTGGCTCCACGACGACGACGAGGACGACGACGACTCCCGCGGGCAGCTGCACGGGACCTGATGATTTCGAGTGTGTCTGTCAGTGTGTGAATGGGAGGTGAGAGATGCTCTCTTGTTTGAGTCGTTGATTCATATATATATATATATATATATAAATATTATTCTTGAAAGAGCAAGAACCCCCCCCCTCCGCCCCCAACCCTCAAA